TGACCTATGATGGAACCCGTGACGGGGGTCCCATGACCTATGATAGAACCCATGACAGGGGTGTCCCATGTCCTATGATGAACCCATGACGGGGGTCCCATGACATATGATGGAACCCATGACGGGGGTCCCATGACCTATGATGGAACCCATGACGGGGGTCCCATGAGCCACGATGGAACCCATGACGGGGGTCCCATGACCTATGATAGAACCCATGACAGGGGTGTCCCATGTCCTATGATGAACCCATGACGGGGGTCCCATGACCCATGATGGAACCCATGATGGCATCAGTGTCCCCGTAAGGAGAGACACCAGAACCTCCTCTATGTCTCTGTCTCCACAACATGCAAAACACCATGAGGAGACGACTCTCTACCAGCCAGGAAGAGACCTTCCCAGGGGCCGGCCCGCCCAGCCCCTGCCCTCCAACGCCCAGCCTCTGGAAATGGGAGTGCCCTGTGTGTATGTTGGGGACCAGCTGGGCCGTGGGAGCTGGCATGAGGCTGTGAGCAGCCGGGGGGGCCTGGGCCACTCACCGATCTCCCAAAACATGACATGCTGGTCTATGCAGGGGACGCGGAAGGCTTCACTCGAGCCCCTCACCAGGATAAAGGCTGCTGGGGACCCCCTGGAGATGCCAGAGATGTCACTGAACACGCAGCCAGTGTGAGTTCCTCGCTCATTCGTGTTGTAGTGGACACAGGGGTGCTGCTCCTGGCTCCTGCGGGAAACACACGAAGTCAGGGGATGGGCCAGGGCTGAAGACCCCCGCCCCAGGGACACCTCGGCCTGCCCAGATCCACCGCCTCCTCCTCCCTCCCTCCTTCTCGTCTTTCTCCTTCACCCTCTCCTCCTTCTCCTTCTTTCTTCCTCCTCTTCCTCCTCTTCCTCCTCCCCTCCCCATCTTCACCTCCTCCCCTGCTTTTTCTCCATTTTCTTCTTCCCCTCCTCCTTCTTCCTCCCACTACTATGCCTCTCCACCCTATTTCCACTCCTCCATCCTCCCTCTCCTCCTTCTCACCCTCCTCCTCTTCCTCCTCCCCTCCTTCTCTTTATCCTCATACTCCTCCTCTCCTTTCCCCTCCTCCCTCTATCCTTCTTTTTCTCCTTCACCATCTCCTCCTCCTCTCCTTCCTTCTCTTCCTCCTCCCCTCCCCATCTCCACCTCCTACCCCTCCTGCCCCCCTGCTCAGGTTCTTCCTCTCATCCTTCCATCCTCCCTCCAAAATCCCTCCATCCTCCCTCCATCCTCCCTTCCATCGTCCCTCCATCCTCCCTTGCATTCTTCCTCCATCGTCCCTCCATCCTCCCTTCCACCCCCTCTCCATCCTCCCTTCCATCCTCTCTCCATCGTCCCTTCCTTTCTTCCTCCATCCTCCCTCCATCCTCCATCATCCTCCCTCCATAATCCTTCCATCCTCCCTTCCATCCTCCTCTCCATCCTCCGTTCCATCCTCCCTCTATCCTCCCTCCATCCTCCCTTCCATCCTCCCTCCATCCTCCTACCATCCTCCCTCCATCCTCCCTTCCATCCCCCTCTCCATCCTCCCTTCCATCGTCCCTCCATCCTCCCTTCCATTCTTCCTCCATCGTCCCTCCATCCTCCCTTCCATCCTCCTCTCCATCGTCCCTCCATCCTCCCTTCCATCCTCCCTCCATCCTCCCTTCCACCCCCTCTCCATCCTCCCTTCCATCGTCCCTCCGTCCTCCCTTCCATTCTCCCTCCATCCTCCCTCCATCCTCCCTCCATAATCCTTCCATCCTCCCTTCCATCCTCCTCTCCGTCCTCCGTTCCATCCTCCCTCCATCCTCCCTCCATCCTCCTACCATCCTCCCTCCAACCTCCCTTTCTTTCTCCCTTTCATCCCCCTTTCATCCCCCCTTCCATTCCCCCTTCCATCCTCCCTCCATCCTCCCTTCCATCCTCCCTTCCATCCTCTCTTCCACCCTCCCTCCATCCTCCCTCCATCCTCCCTTCCTTTCTCCCTTTCATCCCCCCTTCCATTCCCCCTTCCATCCCCCTTCCATCCTCCCTCCATCCTCCCTCCATCCTTCCTCC